CCCTAAAAAATTAACACTAAGGTAATAATAATAATATAAAATAATAATAATACATAATGGAAAGAAGTGAGTGTCTGGGCCATTACTCCTCCTATCCAATATTGTATACTGTTTATTATGGTTACACTGCATACATTTCAGATCTCAATAGTATAAAGCTTTATCTAATTCATTCATCAATCATTCATTTCATTTATTCATTCACTCATTCTTCTTTTGGCTCATTCACACGCACCAGGAACAACTCTTGGATCACAAATCACTGACAACCACAACATATCTAACCCCAGTATGCTTAGCCAAGCCATTTTGCAAGATTTGCAATTAGATCAAAAAAAAACTTGTATTAATTTTTGTACAAATTTAAAATTTATTATTGTGTAATAAACAAATCTGTGATAAAATTAAAAAAGAAAATTCTTTTTTCTTTTTCAATTATTTCTCCTTTTTTTGACTTTTGGCCTCCCTCCTTTCACGTGCGTGATTATATAAGTGTCACGTGTATACGGAAAATAATGGATTATAATTGACCGGGACAGAAATTATGGTAATTGTGATTGTTGCTTTTTACGTGAGGTGTACATGAATGAGTTGATAAATGGACGGATGATGGATGATAAGTATTAACGAATTTTCAGATTATTTTTAGGCGCGCTAATGGTTGTTGAACCAGTTATAGAAATATAGAATAATAATAATAACAATTAATTAATTAAAAAAAAAGTACTGAGCATTACGCCATAAGTAGTTTGAGTCTTAGTATTAAAGAAACGTCCAGCGCCACAATAGTATTATTGTGTAAATTGGTCAAGTGCGAGGTATTTTTAAAAATACATTTTTACATTTTAATATTAAATTAATTGATAACGTTACCCAATTTTATAGGCTGAAAATCACGTGGTTTTGTTAAGCTGTGTGGAAATCCGTTTCTTTTGAAACAAGGTTAAACTACAATTACAAAAGCAACAACAATTATCAGAACAAACGGAAGAAGAGAGATCGTCATCTTCTTCATTATTAGCAGCAACAAGAGTAGTAAATAATGACCAACAACAACAAAGATACTTTTTACCGTCATCTTCCACAACAACAAACTCGACTTTACCATATAATATTGTAGATCAACAATTGGCTAGTTCTGCTGCTCATCATCATCGTCTTCACCATCATCAATTTCAACAGAAATTTTAATTATAAAATTAAAAAAAGTGAATAATAGTAGTCAATATAGTAGTGCGTGTAACATAGCAGTGTAGCAAATTTTATTTTTTCGATTAATCAATCATAGGGGGGTTTTTTAATATATACATA